CAAAGAGTTTAGGCACAGTGAGTTGGCCACTCTCATCAGTTACTGATGGGAACGCTCCCGAAACCTCAGCTCCTAGACTGCAGCAAAGGGCCAGCCTTCTAAGCAGGCCTTTCAAAGCACAATAGTCAGGACTACTATCTTAACTCTTCCGCACACATGGGTAATCTTATTATCATCCCCATTTTAGAGATGAAGGATCTCAAACATAGAAAAGTTAAGTAACTTGCCCAGGGTCCCACAGTTATGTGGCAGGGCTATGTTCCATTCCTTTGATGGGCTTCAGAGCCTGTACAACTGACCACTGTCCAGTGCCATCTTCCTGATCGTTACAAACAGGAATCTATTAAGAGGAGTTTGCAGGGACAGCTGGCCATGGGCACAGGGACAGCTGGCCATGGGCACAGGGCCAGGAAAGAACTTGGCCTTTTGGAGAGATGGCAAACAGCTGGGTGAAGTGGGAGCACAGGGAGTCTCCGGAGGCTGGGAGTAAGATCAGCAGGCGAGGTCTTGAGTTATGGAAGAGGATGCTGCGCTCAGCCCTGTGGGCATGGAGGCTGAGCATGGTGCAAGGTGGGGTGAGAAGCTAGCAACATTTTTTGTACCAGAGAGTGGCATTACAGGGTTGGCCTGCTAGAAGGATCACTGTAGCCTGGAAAACCTGGTACCCGTTTTCCTTTACTTATTCAAATGCCTGCTCCATAACTGTGTTTGTGTGTGATCGTGGCTGAGTCACTGACCCTCTGCACACATTGGGGGCTCTGCTGCAGAAGGTGGGGTTTGGTCCCTGCCTGTCCTTCCCCTCTCAGTGGTTGTGGGAATAAGATGCAGCAATGACTGTCCCAGGGCTTTGTGGGCAGAAATGTGGTCCAGGCAGCAGGCTCGCTGCGAGGATGTGAGCTTTGAACATAGCACTCCTGAACAACTCCTGGCCTTTGCAGCTTCCTGGCCACTTCCTTCCCAAAGCCATTTGTTCTGCCCCTGCAAAGCTCAGCTTGCCATGAGTCGGACAACAGGGCCTGGAATCTGCTGCTGCAGGTAGCTCAGGGACTACGCCAAACAAACCCCCTCCCCCACGCTGCAGGCTGAGAGGGGAGCCCTGGCCAAGTACCTCCTTCCTGAGAGGCAGCTCTGGGCAGGGAGGTCAGCGAGATCTGGTATGAGTCCCATCTCTGCCTTTTCCTTGCTGTATGACCCTAAGCAGTCACTTACCCTGTCTGGGCCTCAGTTTCTGTGTTAGTAAAATGAGATAATAATACCCACACCCATCAATTTGAGGATCAAATGAATGAGGTCTCCACACCGGAGCTCCCAGCAGCAGTAAGCAGAAGAACACACAAGGCTGCAACCCAAAGTGGGCTCCACGGCTTAGGGTCCCCATCAAGAAATGCTTATAGCTTCTGTTTCTCAGAAGAACTGGATTCCCAGAGTGTTGGGGAGAGGGCAGATGGGAAATTCAAGGGGGAACCTTGAAGTGGAAGTCATGACACCTGGGTGGTAGTTTTGGCTCCACCCCTTATTTGCGGTGGGCTTGAGGGCCTCAGTTTCCAAAGCAGTCAAATGATGACAAATAATTTGACCAAAAAGTAAATTTTAAAAGTACAAAATAAGATTTTCCAAGGCTGCAACAGCCTTCTGAATAGCCAGTATTTTCAGCAAGTGCTCACATCCCCCCAGATTCCCGAGTGACCTAAGTGATTAGTATCCAAGTTAGTGTGAGGGTAGATGCTCTTTCAGGGGACCTGGCACCCAGTGCTCTAGAAGGCTTTTATTCTGTTGCATTGCCTCTTTCATTGTCCGAGTAGATCTGTACTTTTAAGAGATAGTTATCTGTCCTCTCCCTTCTTAGAAATAGCTGCTTTCCTTTTTAATTTTAAAAATAAAAATAAAAATTACTCTTGATGCAGTCACTTGAAAATTTCCATGGTTAACCTTTTTCCCTTTAGCCTTCATCTTTTTTGTTTGAACATATTTCTTTGTTTATTTCTGATGCTTTTAAAGCCTAGATTTGACTCTGACAACACAATCCTAGCCCAGTAAGTCCCAGAGCTTCTAGGGAGTGTCCCCTGCAGCCAGCCTCAGGTCACAGGAAGGCAACAAGAGGTCTTCCCCAGGCCCTCTAGACAGGCACCCTCGGGACCTGCTCAAAATGTAGAGAGAGCAGAAAATTCCCTCCTGAAATGCAAGGGATGGAGGAGGTAATAACACAATACCACCTGTTGCTAGCTTCAGTTGAGCACCAACTACGTGCCTGCTGTATGCCAGGCATGCTTCCTTTCGCACACCCTGCATTGGGCAGGATTCAGTATGTATTTACTGAGGGTCTACTACTGCATACCAGACATTCTTCTAGACTCTGCCTTGTTCACTATAGCAGAGAGCAAGACAGATAAAACTCCTGCCTCGTGGAACTTCAATTGCATTAAGAAACAACACAGTAAGCAGGGACACATATATGTACCTGTGTAAACACATATGTACATGCACATTCATCTCTTCCTAGTCATGCCCTGGCCCCTTACACTGCTTCATTTTTCCCTAGAGACACTTAGTGTCAAGTCCTAGAAGGAGCCATCAGTAAAAAGGCCAGGGCATGACTGGGAAGGGAGCAGTGGGAGCTATTAGAATGAGAAGGTCATAGTTGAGAAGGGAGGTTATATTCCATGCAGATATTTGGGGGAGGGTTTTGATCCATAGAGGTATTTGGGGGAAGCAAATGAAAGCAAAGGTTTTGCTTATTTAAGAAATAACAAGGAAGCTAGTGAATCTGTAGCACAGAAAGTAAGCTTTGAGAAGTACTGGGGGGGGGGGCGGTCTCATAAGATCTTGTGAGCCTTGGTAAGAAATACAGTTTGATTCTAAAAGGCTTGTGAAGCCTTTGGAGGGTGACAGCAGAGAAGTGATATCCAAATTATACTTTGATTCTATAAGTGAACATTAATCCCCTTCTATGGATGCTCAGATTGGCTCACCTGCCAAGGACCAGTTAACAGTGGGCATGGGACCTGAACCCAGATCTGTCTGTCCTTAGGGCCTATCTGCCTCCCACTGGGCCACTAGGCCTCCCATCAGCAGAGCTACCTGCCTGAAGCTATAGATGAAGCCACCACTCTGCAGAGCTTCCACACCCCTGCAGGTCCTCCCAGGCACTATGGGAGGCCTTAGGCCCTGCACACCAGGAAAACAGCCTCCTGCCCAGCCTGCTGGGCCCAACAGTGCTTCATGACTTACTGAACCGGGGTTCCCTACAGTGGCCTAGCTGCAGATGCTGTTGCCGTGGCCCACTGGCTCTCACTGTCCCCTAGAGATGTTAATGATATGGGACTTTGAGATGGTGCTTACAGCCCCTCCTTGTTTTTGGTCTTTGAGGCTGGCCGGGGGCAGTAGTCCCAAGGCTGTGCAGAGTGAGGCAGAGGGGTGAAGCAGAGAGGGCCTGAGCTCTGGGTCAGATAAACCCAGGTTCCTGTTCAGCCGTGCCACGTGCTCACGGCATTGATCTTAGAAGTTACTTCTGTGAGCCTTGCTTTGCTGGCCTACAAAAGAGCAGCAATAATACTGACTTTATAAGATAGTTTTGAGGAATAAAACCTAAATTAAATAGTCACAGAGCTCCTAGCACAGTAAATCATATGTGGCAGAAGCAGGGTAGATGCAGCTATTGCAGTTAGCTTCAGTACTTCTATTGTATTTCTACACCCCTTAAAACTTCTTCCTACATTATCTCAGTTGATCCTTATAGCAACCCTGTAAGCTTAGTATTCTAATCCCCTTTTCCATGAACAAGTAAGGTAAGAGAGGTTAAGAGTTGTACCCAAAGTCACACAGCAGGAAAGCAGCATAAGGGAGACTTGAACTTGGGCATGCCTGTTTTCAAGACCTGGTGAAAGTCAAAGGCAGACCCCTGGAAGGGCTGGGACCCAAAGTTAGCTCTCTGCAGTCAGGCCTTCCTTTGCGCACATAGGATGCCAAGGCCACCACCAGAGTGTTAGAAGTGATTCACCACAGGCTATGAAAGAGAGTTGGGAGGAGTCTTGAAAATATTAGAAAACAGGCCCCAGCGCACTCAAGTATGAATGTCACATAGCAAGCCTGGCTGAGAGCAAAAGGGCAAGTGTGTCTGTCTGCATTCTGGGTTAGGTATTGGCAAAGCCACAAAATGCTGGCCACCCTCAGTGTACTTTGGGACAGAGAACATTCCCTGTGTTTTCTGTGTGGTTACTATTCTTGCTAACCACTTATCACTCGGGTCCCTGCATAGCTAAAGGGCCATGATACTCCAACCATGGGCAGTATCAGCCTGGGGACCTGAGAGCGATACAGTCTCAGGCCCCATGTGCCCGGCTGACCCTGAATCTCCAGGTCCAAGCCTCAGCTGTGTGTGCACTCCAGGTGGTCTGATACTTACTCAAGTTTGAGAGCTATGGGTTTAGAAGACAACGGCCATAAGTGCTTGACTTTCTTTTATCTTTGGACTAGAGAAATGAGTGTGCCCCAGCTACTCCGTGAGCAGCTGTAGGCAGTATCGTCAAGCAGAGGAGAAAGAACAGGCTTTGGGACCAGATAAACCTGAGCTCAAATTCCTCCTTTGGGCCTTGCTAGCTGGTAACCTTGACGAGCCCTGTTGTTACCTCTGCACATCAGTTTCCTCACCTGTAGAATGGGATAGCACGCCTTCCTCACTTAGCCTAATTTGAAGGTTCGAGAAAAAGACTATCAGATGCCTAGCTCAGTGTTGGGCACTTGTCAGTTCCTCCTCAGTGAGAGCTGTGATTTGATGCACACATGGCCAGCTGTTCGGGTTTGTATAGAGAATGTTCCCTCTGGATGCTCTGTGCCAGGTGAACCCCTTGCACATGTGGCTTGCACACTGACCCATCACCTGGAAACCATGGCCCACTGGTCTCACGCACAGCTGCACCAAACAGCCACTTTGTGTGTTTCTCTACTCTTCCCCCCATCGATGCATGACTCATTGCTTCATTCATGTCTCCATGTGTGTGTAGAAACCTAGGCAAGCAGCCATTCCTAGGGACATTGCAGGACAACCTCATTGAGATGGACATTCTCAGCGCCTCCCGCCATGATGGGGCTTACAGTGACGGGTAGGTGACATCCCCATGCTCCTCTCTGTGTGTGCTCTCCCCGTGGCTCTTGCACTTGCATGCAGACCTGAGACCTTTCCCTGGGATCTCCTTAGGGGGGTGATCCATGTTGCATGCCCATCCCCAAGTCCATGTTCAACATTCAGCAGCGTATCCTTGGAATACCCTGTCCCCCAGCATATTAACAGCACTCTTGTTAATATGCGGCTCTCAGCATCTCACTGGCTGCCTTGCCATTCTGAAAACCATCTCATGTAGCAATTTTTCTGCAGCACAGGCCCTGTATTGTATGTATTCTGCCCCTGAGCGTGTATTCTGTGGCCTGAGGCGCCTCGTACCCCAGCAGAGGTGGGTTCATCCTGAGACTTCCAAGACTTCCATTTCCAGGCTGTCTGCAAGTCCCCCGTGGCCATGGTTAAAGCCAAGCTGTGGAGGAGTTCCTGACACCTAGTTTGGCCACAACCATGTGCTTTGTGCACCTGTGCCCTCGAGACTGTAGCTAGGCTGTAGGGTGCAGCTCCCCTCTGTCCCCTCACACAGCTCTTCCCTGGGGCATGGAAGGCAGCAATCTGGCTTCTGAGCAGTGCTTTGGAGGCATGTGCTGCCCTTGGCTGTGCAGCGGCCGCCGGGGGACTCCTGGCCATGGAGGAAGTTAGTGGCAGTTTCTTGGCTTCAAAACCAAGACCCCCTTTATAAAGAAGGGTATTCCAATCCTCACCCATGATGCACTGGCAATGTAGGTACTGGAAGAAAAATTTTAGGTCCAGTTATCTCCAGGGATAGAACAGGACTTCAGACACTTTCCAGGCTACCATAATAATTTTAGAGAACAGGTAGTTTATTCCCAAGAAACAGCAGCCCAGTCCCATCTGTTCCCAGGAAAAGGATCTCAACGCCAGCCTTCTGCTGAGTTGGTAATATCTTCTTCCTCACCTTGAGTGGGTTTCCCACGGGCGGGGTGCTCCCATCCCTGTTCCGTGGAAATGTGTCTGTGTGTGCCCTGTTTTGTGGTCTGGTCCGTGTTCTCCTTTTGCCGTTCCCCCCTTGTCGTCTGTGGGTGACTGTGTCTCTCTCTCCAGGCTCCTCTGCATGCCTCTTCTACTGCCGCCTCTGTCCTGCGGTGTGTCAGGTGCCCAGGCTGCCAGCAGACCCTGATGCCCTCTTGTTCCTCTCCATCCCTAGGCACTTCCTCTTCAAGCCCGGCGGCACCTCCCCACTCTTCTGCACCACGTCACCAGGGTACCCGCTGACGTCCAGCACAGTATACTCCCCTCCACCCCGGCCCCTGCCCCGCAGCACCTTTGCCCGGCCGGCCTTCAACCTCAAGAAGCCCTCCAAGTACTGTAACTGGAAGTGCGCAGCCCTGAGCGCCATCATCATCTCCGCCACGCTCGTCATCCTCCTGGCATACTTCGTGGGTAAGCACTCCTTCCCCAGCTCCCCTTGGCTCCCCTTGGCCCAGCAGGCAGGGACTGACACACGTGTGAGCACTGAAGGATCCTCGCAAGCACAGCAGTCAAAGCATGCAGCGTGCCCTGAGCAGCACCAGCGTGCTGGACGGCCTGCACCCCCAAACTGTCAGGAGCAGCTCTTCAGGGCCCTCTTCCCCTGCACTCCCCCTGCAAGGGGTACAGGCCATGCCCTTATACCAGGAAGGAAGCTGAGTACCTGTCCTTTCATGAGTCAGGTGCCTAGGCTGAGGTGTACTCAGTAAAGCTGGTCTTGGCGGCAGTGAGCTGTGGCATGAGTGTCATGGGCTGGAGTCACCACAAATGAAATGCTAAGTTGGAGAGGCTGGGCAGCAGGCAGACTCTCTCATTGGTGCCCTGTGGCTGCAGTGAGGAGGTGGAGTACTCTGGGGTTGGAGGGAAACTGCTAGAAAAGTGTATCTGAAGGCAAAGGTCCAGCAAGGTGGTTGGAGGGTACTGTGGCAACCAAGGTCCAGAGTCCAACCACGGTCAGGAACCCAGGGAGATTCTGATAGAGGAGCAGCATGTCCCAGTGGGCAGACAGAGCTGGTGGAGGGAAGCGTGGAGTGCAGAAGGCACTCACCTGACACCCAGCATGACTGGGCCCTGAGGAGCTCTGGCTGCCCTACGGCCTGGCTGTGGCAGGACAGTTCCCACTCTGTGAGCCTCTGGTATGTGTCTCACAGTCTGACCTTCCTTTTAGTATTCTCCCAGGAGAGATACTAACCTGAAGAGAAGTGGGATTGTGTAGAGTCTGCAGCCTTTTGGCAGAGGCATTGAAGGGAGATTGGCTTCTCCTGTCCTTTCCAGCCTTCAAATTCTGTAATTCTCAGATTGAAAATAGGCTGGGCCATCTTGACAAGGGCCTTGAATCCATGCTAAGGATGCTGAGATAATCCTCTAAGCAAAGGGACTCTTTTCAGCACAAGCCCAGTAAATGGAAAAAGGACTAATGGGCAGAGGCCAAAGGAAGTCAGAGTGCCGCCCCGTGTGCAAAAGCACTTTGTAACAAGAAAGTCAGTGTCGCTGGGGAGGGGCTGTCTTGACGGGTAGTAGGTGCTGCCACTAGGCGCCAGTAAGAGAGCATGGACCACCACTGTTCAGGAGGGGGAGAAGGGGTTGAGGCATGGATGGGGGTTTGAGTGATGCAAGTTGTGAGCTCACTTTTTGTCTTAAGATGCTTGTTTGCCTCCTGCAAACAAGGTCTTCTTAAATATCTCAAGCTATCATAAGCCTCCTCTGGTATTTCTGTAATAAGCCTCCTCTGGTGTGTTGGGTCTTTTCCCCTTGTGATATTGGCTTTAAGAATTTCATAGCTCCAAGGCCAGGATGGCATGGCCGTTTTATCTCTCCTGCTATCAGATTGATTAGTTCTTGCTGCCTAGAAAGCTGTGTGGAGGAGGGTCCTGAGGCTATTACTCAATGTGAAAGTCTCTGTGATCGATTAGTGACGTCTGGTATAGTCACAGGCATGGAGAATATTGATGACATATTAGCCATTTGCCATCCCTGCTGTAAGTCATTGGGTAAAAGGAACAGCCAAACTGGGAGAGGTCAGGTCCTGCCAGATTCTGTGAGAGGTGTGTCGTTGATATAAATGGGGTTACAGGTGAGGGCTGTGGGGTTCTATGCACCATTACTTTGAATGAAAATTCCTTCTGGCACCACCGATACTGTGTCCCCACCAGCCAGTGGCACATCTCTGGTTTTTGACTTACATTATTATATTTCCCAAGTAAGTAGACTTTTGGACAGGTAGTGCCACTGTTCAAAAGTCTAGTAGTTTGCTGCATATGGACATCAATTTGTTTTGCATTGAAGTCCTAAGGTTTCTACCATGTATCCTAGCTCAGTGAGGAAGAGTACATCTTTATATGATTAATCACGCTTCTATTTTCCTATCCCATGGGTTTCTTCCTCTCCCATTTAATAAGAATACATGTTCCATCTTCAACTATCTGAAGATAGGGGCTACCGTTGGATAAGTAGTAAGCACCCTGTCAGAAAGGGAACAAATAGAGCTCAGTGACCACCTAGCAAGCATAAGACTCAAGCACTGACGGGGTGGGGGGGGGTTTCATTGGCAGTGTTTAATTTTTCTTCCAACACTGACAGTCTTTGAATCGACGATTTTATGAATTTTATTTTTTATTCAGCAAATCATGCAGAGGACCTGCTTTGAGTCAGGTACTATGCTAAGTGCTAGGGTTAAAGATATGGTCCCTACACTTGAGGCCTTGGTAGCTTAAAAGAGGAGATGGCTGTGTTATCAGGCAAATCTAAAACAGTGATTGATTTACAGAGCCAACCAGAGGCTGTAGAAATACCCATCCCAGCCAAAGGGACCAAGGAAGGTTTCCTGGGAAAACTGATGTTTGAGCTGAATTTTAAACTAGGCATCAGCTAGGAGGGTATTTCAAAGCAAGAGAACTTTCAAAGACTTGAAAGAGGATGAAGTGGTGGCAAAGAAATTTTCTGTATTTGAAGCATTTGAGTTGTGTGGGGTGCACCATTGGAGATAATACGGGGGTGTTTCATCAGATGAAGACCAACTGGGAGGACACGTCCAGGGCCTCACTGGATGAGCAGTTGGGTAGCCACTGAGCGTTTCAAGCAGTGGGAGGACATAGTCAGATTTTTATTTTACAAAGATAAGGGTAGCAGAAGGAAAGGGGAGAAGGCAGGCTGGTGGAAAACTATTGCAATGAACTAGTCAGGAAAAGCTGTTGGCTTCAGTGAAGATAGTGCCAGAGTAGGTGGAGGGGAGAAGGTAGGTCTAAGGTCAGGTCAGGAGGAGGTCAGCTCATTTGACAGTACGTCCTTTCTAAAAATAAATACATCTTTCTGATAAAATTCTTTCCGAGTAGAGACATTAAGACTGAACTCTTAATGTTCATATGCAGGGGGTGGGGCAGACAGACAGGCCCAGGGCATTCCTTCCGTCACCTGGAGCCTCAGGGAGGTGTTGGGGAGGAGCTCGGCCCCACTGAAAGTGCTGGAATCCATTCCCAGCTCTGCCACCCAGCTGCTGTTCACCTTTGGGCAACTCACTTCTCCCTCTGAGTTCTGATTTTCTCATCTAGAAAATAGGCAGGGCCCACTACCCCAGAAGAAATGTCGGTGAGGTTGGAGTGAGCTACTGCAGGAGATCGCACTGCGGGTGTGAGGACCGTCCCAGCCTTGCTTCAAGGGGTGGGGAGGTAGCAGCCTTCCTGCTTGGTCTCCTCCCACTGCTCAGGGCAAGGGACCAACATCTTGTTGCTTGGCCATGATCACAGGCTGTGATGACTAACTTATGGACCTATCAATTATTAAAAATCAAATTAATTGTCTCAGCCAAGCACAAATATCCTTAACAAAGACTCTTTCCAACAGACCGAGTGATCTAATCAACAGGCAAAACCACGGATATTTAATTAGATTTTTGATGAAAAATTGTGTTTAATTTCAAGTATAATCAATTATTAATTACTGTAATGAGTGAGTCTGACTGGATTTACTAATTAACTCATTTAAAAATTATGAATAACCTTTTCATTTCTAATTATTTTCTACATCCTATCAAGTTCCAGATAAGAATTACATCACCTCACCAGCAAACAGGGGAGGCACAAACAGAGGGGGTGAGAAGAATTTTTCTTTTGCTGCTATCTGCCCAGAACTGTCCTGTCTGGAGGGTGATCCTGACAGATCCGTTGACATTCAGTTTATTCCTTGGAAAGTTTCTTGAGAAACTTGTACAACTGATGACCTTTCCGTTATGGATACATTTACAGGCATTTTCATGGGAAAATAGAGAAATTGGAGTCAGCACTTACCACCCACAAAGACTGCAGAGCCTAGGGCTTTGCCTCTGGGCCATCTCTTCCTCTCCTGGCAAAGGCTCTTGGCTGCTCTGGCTGGGGGTGGGAATTCTAGGGAGGATCTTCCGGCAGCTGTGGGATCTCTTCAGGGAGAAAATGTGTATTCTTGTCTTCAATGAGCGCCAATTCAGAAAGCACCATCAGAGATGAGTTTGCCTGGTTGTGTTCACTCATTCTCGGTGGGAAGGGGCTGGGGTCTCTAATACCCCTGCCTTTGCTTTTCTGAAGAAATAAATCTGGGTGCAAAATAAAAGCCAAGGAGAGTAATAGGAGGGGAAGGCTAGTTTTAGGTCAAACCATGAAGCTTGTACAGCCCTGGCAGCAATGCTTTATGTTATAGCATTTAATTGTTTTTAAGACATTTTCTCCAAAAGAGATGTGGTGTAGAGTAGTGAGTGACACTGGTCACTGTTTGCCGTTGGTAATAACAGCAGTTAGTTTCGCCTATGTGTTGTTTACATGCCTCTTTTGTTCTACGCACGTTACTTGTGTTTTCTCATTGAAATCTAACAACCCCATGGGTTAGTATCCCCAATTTACAGGTGAGGACACTGAGCCCCCGGGAGCTTGAGTAATTTACTCACTGTCACGCAGTAAATGTTTGGGCTGTGATCCACCCGGCCACAGGCACTCTAGGTCTTAAACTGATGCTTTTAAATTTTTTTTCTCTTTGGAGCTCACGCTCTTAACTCTCATACCATCGCTTTCCCATCCTAGTATTTAGTCTTTTGGATGTTTCCTATGTGCCCCCATTAGGTATGCCAAGCATATAGGCCAAGCCCATTAGGTATGCCATCTCACAGCAACTCCATGGGATGTGAGGGTTGTAGACCCTCACAACAATTCCGTGGGATGAGTATCACAATCACTTTCTTTATTTTCTACATGGGGAAAATAAAGCTCAGAGAAGTTTGCACCTTGTCCGGGTCACGCAACCAGTAGATGATAGCCGAGATTCAGCTGTGACTTGGAGGGTTTATGCTTCCAGACACTCTGCTCCAGAGATCCTGGGCTTGAACAGACAATGTGGAGTCCCAGACCCAGGCTCTGTCACTTGCTGGCTGCGTGAACTTGGGCAGTTTGCTT